ATTTGGACTCACCGCGGATATGGACCCCCCGATCCATATCAGGTAGCGGATTCGGACCCCGACGGTACATATATCCGCTAGCTGATATGTACCCCCTTCCGCGGAATTGGACTCCTTAAAATTCACAAAAAGAAGAAGTTTTGAAACGATTTGCAGTTGAATGTGCATGGAAATTTAGGCGTCAGTTCAATTTAAATTATGATAACTAATGGTATGACTCAACTATCTTGGAATTTGCTTAATAACAAAAACAAGTATTGAGATGCTAATTTTATAAAGTTTAGGGTTGAATGGAATGCATCACTTTGTTATGGGTATGTTAAGGCAAAAATAATTTGAAACATATTTTCATTTCCGTTTATATTTGAGCAGTTAAGAGTCAGAGCAGATAGCAATTCCAACGAGTAAAATACTTGTGAAGGCTTCATGCGCTTCTCAGTTCTCGCACATTCCAAGATCATAGAGATAAACTCACGTAGCAGAAAAATTATCATAAACCTTGACCTCACTCTAAAAATCTAAGATTTGATGATCTAAAAATCTTTGTACGGTTTAAAAATAAATCAGATGAGATTTATGAAGATTTAAAACGCTTTCAGTACAATATTCAAAATACGATACGTTCCAATCGACAAAATACGCGAGGGGTCCAAATTCGCGAGGGGAGTCCAAATCCGCTAGCGAATAAAGACCCCCAAAGGTCCATATTCGCTAGCGGATATGGACTCCCCGGTCTTGAGGGGTCCAAATCTGCTGGGACACCGGTTGTTCAAAGGTGCATGGGTTAACGCGAACCCTCGGTTAAAATTTAACCAGTTGAGCATGTTAGTTTGTGTATTTCGGCACCTCTGTTTAATTCCAACCTTTAGAGAAGTATAGACTCCCATTGATCCAAACAAGATTTCTGAAGAAACATTTCCATATTTAAAAACAAGCTGTCAGGAAGTTTGCCTTGAATTTTAGGTTAACCTAGGGTTAAGCTGATCGGCTTTCGAACAACCAGCCCCATGCAGATTACCACTACAGCAATCAAAAAGCTTTGTACATAAACTAAAGTTACAAAAATCAGACCATACGAAAATCTTGAGCAATAATGAACATAATTATATATCAATCAAGTGAAATTCTAGTAAACCCTTTTCAGCCAGTTCGAGCTAGATTGATATATCCACTGTTACAACTTAGTAGACACTATTATAAACAATTACGTAACAACAGAAAACGACGAAGTATTTGAAAAATAGACTGTTTTGGTTATAGTGGTGCAGTACTGTGGATCTCCCTTCATGCGTAGTTACGACAGGCTAGTAATTTACATAAATTCAAGTTTGACTGCAGCAATCTCATTCGATAATTTTAAATATTTTATCCAATGTTATTAATTGCACGGCATTCGTTGAAAATATGTATATGTATAAGTATGTATATGTACCATTTGTAATATGCAACTATCCTTTGTTTATTCTATTAACTTTATCATAAGCGTGTAAAATCCTGATGAGTCTACCGTGGCTAACTAAATAAAGTTCACTTTATAGCTACTTACGAACTTATATGCCATGGCCGGGTGTTTCAAAAAGGTATAGTTAATTAATATACCAAAGTTGGTTCGAAAGTTAAACAATCAAAATGGCGTATTTTGATGGTAATCATTTTGAAATGTGTTTATTCGACATTTCGAATAGAAATTAAACATCATCAGGAATGATGAAATTATTACATATCATATAGGTATATATATACGAGTGAAGAAATATGAGAAATACGTACTTTATAAGGTTATTAGTAAAATATTATTATAGTTCTTTGTAGAAGCTTAGGATTTCGTGAATGAGGTTATAGGTTTCAGTCTGCGTATCGCAAGCGATTCTTTGCATGAACAGTAATAAAGACCAGCGGTCGGCTCTGTTGGTTATTTTACAGTTATTAAAAAGAAAATCAGCTGATAATATACATGTTATATTAGAGTCTTGGTCTGGTGTTAGTTCCATTGTTCACATGATGAGATGTGGTTATAAACGTCAGAAAGAAGCGACCAGCGACAGTATTTACCTATGATATATATGTAGTAATTTCATCATTCCTCGTGATGACAACTAAACGTCGACCGTTTACCGTTTTCCAAGTTACTATGTTGTATTGTATTTAATTAAAATACTCAGTTATTCCCGCGATTTTTAGCGTTAACTACTGTTAGACTACAAAATAGGGATTAAAACGCAGTTAAAAGCTTTATACATCCGGCCGCATGCAGCTATTTATATCAGTCGGAACTTACCATGATCGATGATAACGTTGTGTAAGCGAAACAGTTGCCGCGCCAGCTGTTGTATTATTGTCCAGATCACCAGGTATAGGTTGACTACAGCAATCACAATGCTTTGAACATAAACTAAAGTTACAAAGATCATCAATGGCCATATAAAAATTTGTTCTATGCTGGGTTTGTCAATTATCAACATATTTTGCCTGTGAGGGGCGACATGGATTTCTAAAGAAATCTAAGTGTGATAAAGTTTGGTACAAATGAGATTATACAGTGTTTACAAAAAAGGAGACCTATAGAAATTAACCCTATTGTTACAATTTGATTGAAATCAGCACTACGCTGAACACAAGAGTCAAGAGTGCGAAAACACAATTGTATTGAAATTTTAATTACCAGGAGCAAAATACAGTATATTGTCCTTAACAACAATAGATTAATGTCTAAAGTCTCCTTTTTATGATACACCCTGCGTAATTGTTATTTAAACTTGCTCAGCTTATCAGGATTTTGCTTAGTTTAATTAAGCCAGTTATAACAGGCTCTTATATCTAAACTGGTCGCCAACACAGGATCACCAATCATGTAAAACCCCCTTTTTTGGTCTGTAAACCGTCACTGGTGCTTATACTGCTAAAAGTTTTGTGTAAATAAACCGATGCATGAAATGTCAAACTGTACAGCATAGCTTTTGAACGTATGACGTCATTTTGTATTTCCGTTATTATACCTCAAAAGCACCATGTATATCTCCGCGAGCAGGTTATGTTATCTTCCACCTTTGCACAGATGAAGTATATACCAGATGTGTAATTTAATAGGAATTCGTGTCCTCAAATTTCCCTAGATGTACACGTCATGCTCACGCCATGACACTTGCTAGCAAAATGGCGTCCTGGAAAATACGAACGTTTGCATTTTATTGCGGCTTTTTTGAATCGAAATTTATGGATTAGACAATCAAGAGCATCATTTGTTCAATGTTCAAAGTTGTTAAAAGCAATTAAAGTTGTGGAAAACGTGTTGAAAGCACTTTGAAAGCAATGACGTATTACCAAATGACGAATTGTCACGCGCAAAATTGTCTACAAGAACATAGAATAAGGTTAGGAAACTTGATGCAGACAAATATAATCGGGGTTCATGCAAAAATTGGCCCGTTTATCAAAAATAACCATGTTAATAGCATTGGTCTCTGGGCAACGCTGTCAAACCATTCATGCGCTGGAAATCAGCAAAATGTAGGTGTTATGTCATCCCAACGATCTGTATGTTTTCCAGATAAACAATAGAAAACATCAAGACTTGGGAAACACTTCAGCCATTTAGCGGAATCTGTTAACCCCATCATGAATTCAGCTGGGAGGACAAATGCTTTGAGGTTTAGCATATTCTGTGATAAGCCAGTTATTTCACAATATATCTACCACGCACATTGAAAACGTTGGACATAACTTACTACAATTAATAACTAAGTGCTAAATAGAAAACAAATTGTTAATAAATGTCTCTTGTTTGGTTTATCAATGAAGCATTTGTAGATTCATGCTCATGGCCACGCATTGAGTATATTGCATGTTAAATAATGTTTTTTTAGTGTTAATTTTGTAGTAGAAAATGGGTTAACGTTGACGATATAAAGCATGTTCAAATAATTTTTCTGACGGAACTGTAGTGAATCAAAAGATAATGATTCAGGTCTTGTTTGAACCTCGTATTTTTTGCAAACATGTCTGATAAAATATGGCCGCAGGAAGACGACGAAGTTAAAGCTTGCTGGATGATGTGCTTTACATTTTACGAATCACAACGACGTAGTGAGGTGGGGGAAAGTAGATATTTTCTATTATATTTCGAAGACAAAATTATTTTATTATAACTTATAGAATAAAATAGAATAGAATTTTTATTTATACAGGAGTCACAATCAGTGAAAAACTGTTCTCTCAATTGAACCTGTCTGAATTATGACTTGTATTTATAAAATTGTTAAAATAGATTATTTTCGTTAGCGAATTATCTCCCGAAGATCCCAGAAATGTCATGAAAATCCCGCAGCAGCCCTTGTCTAGTTTGAGTTCCCGCTCACAGGCAATAGGTAAAAACTTGATGCAGACATAATAGACCTCATTATCTATGTTTTGTCTTGGTTTAAGCAAGAAATGGTCGGTTCATCGTCAAGTAACCACAATGGTGATTGGTCGTTTCATCGTCACGTAGAACAACCAATAGCTAAGTTGTCGTTTAACCATTCTGTAATATCACGGCTAGGCAATTAAACCAATACAATGGTATTGGTTTCTTGGTGGGCAAAAAAAAACACACACAACGATACACACGCGACGATAAACCGACAAACCGATAAACCGACCAATTTTTGCATGAACCCCGAAAAACGACATTGATAATGAGGTCTGTTATGTATGCATGAAGTTGCCCAACCTTCTTATTCTATTGACGAGGTTCTTGTGGACAATTTTTCTTGATCTTGATCGATGTTCTTGTGGACAATTTCGCACTGACAGGCGGACTGACTTGAACTAAGCTGTGCACCTCCTTTTATGCTAACTGTCCAGGGGGTCTTTGTTCATGTGACTGAAAAGGTGGGTTACTTTATCCTGCAACTGAACAAATTTCCACCGCAGGATGTAACAATTGGAAATAAACACAAATTACTTTCACGGCTGTCGGGCTAGCCAGGCTTTGTAAAACATTTTGTAAACAGACAGAGCAAGGCCTTTGTAAAGCAAATGGCATCTAAACAGACCTGGCAAGACGAGCTACGTTTAGCTTCATTATCGCCAAAATGATTTAGACATGCATGGTTGCTTATAAATATACTGCAGGCGCCCAATGGAGTTTCGTTTCATAAATACCCGTACATTCTCCAAACTAATAGTGAATCATATTTGTCATTGAATAACACGTGCATATCATTATTAGAAGCAACATGTGCGGAATTGTGTTTCCAAATGAATCTTGTCGTTGATTGTAGCATGGGTTGCCGGGATGGCTGGTCTGTTTAATATCGTGGATGATTATTATCGATTTCAGACCACTTCTCAAGGCACGGTTCCCACGTATGGTGTGAATATTCCAGTGAAATGAATATAACTGGAACACTATACCTACAACCGGAAATTTAAAGCCAAACTTCTAACGTTTGGAGGTATGCGACGGTCAATCCGTCAACGTATTCTTGAAAACCGGCTTAAAATTTACAAAAAGGTTTTTAACAGGGCTGAAAACTTTCTATAGTAATCCATTTATTCAGTTAAAACCTCCTAGTAGATATTACTTTTATTTTTTTTCTCTCATTAAAACGGTATGCTCGCTCCCTGAATCGGTCTCGCAAGAAAGTCGCGAAGCATAAACACGTGGGTCTTGACCACCGAGCACACGAGTCTGCTGGTCAGATTCGGCTATATTCATTTCAGTTATATTCCAGTTATATTCATTTCACTGGAATATTCCCAATTATGTTTCTATAAATACGTAATATTGGACGGGGAACTTGGAAAGCCAACTACAAAAGTACTTGCTAAAGCACCGTAGTACTGAGCTAAACTACCCAAGTACTCAACATATAGTAACTTGTATAATTAAGTAAGCGAAATGCGAAACTACATTTGCTTAATATTCAAAATTTAGAAACGTATTAGGGAATTCCAGCTTTTGATTTATGCGCGCAAGGGGTGACGGGAAGTAAGGTATCATATTGCTGATTGTGCTGAAAATTTTCAATAAAAATTGCAGAAACTGTCAATGTTTACAAGTATAAGCTATCACTCCGGGTTTGCACGGCCGCCATTTTTATTTTAAATGATACCTTACTTCCCATCCCCCAGCACGCATAAACTAAAAGCTCGAATCACCTATTGGGAATATTTACAATAAACCTCAGAACCGCCGACAAAAAAAAATATCCACTAGAGGATACAACATAGACACTTGAGGATCTCATCCTTCTCAAGAGACCATATACATGCGTGCCATATCATTCTGGATAGAAGGACAATAACTGCAGTTCAAATAAATACCTCTATTTCAGTTGGTGTGAAAGTACGACTACCAGCTAAAAGAGAATCAGCTTGTGCCGTGCCAGGAGGTGGTTGATATGAATTACCAAAACAGCTGTAAGATTCTTGATTACCATTAGCGTTATTACTGATATTCACATCGGGACCACCCCCAAAGGACGGACCATGATTAGGGTCACAATAAATAGCATATTGTTCGTAGCCTGCAGGTTTCACGTTTGCAATGAATGGAGCAAGATTTTCTTTACTTCGCAGAGAAAACACAAATGACAAATTGGAACGTTTATAACCATTACCTAGGACACAAAACAATATAATATTTAATGGATACTATTAATATTTATTTATTGGAAGTTAACTTGGACCTCAAGGGATGAACTAGACAATATTAAATATACGTTTTCGAAAGGTAAAAAAAGTATTGTTATTAGTAATGAACATCGATATCCGTATCAGTGTATCGGATATCGGTATACTGCACCGGCAATAAATTCAATTAAATATCGGTATTTTTATTGCCAATATCACAGATATCATACAATAATAAATTTATAAATTACATTTTAAATTTAAAGAAATATGTTGGATTTCAATTTCTTGTAACGCGACTCAGGAGAAAAATATAGACAATTTAATAAAATTGGGTAATTGAGTAGCCTGCGTGCATCCCATAATATCAGGATTTGGGGCACCCTATACTCAATATAACTAATCGTCGATAGTATTTGTAGATGGAAATTTCGTGATTTCATTGATTAAACCTAACCAGGAGCTGTTACGAAAAATGCAACTATATATAGGCCTTCTGGCAGGAATCGAGCCTGTCAGCCTGTGATTCCGGTGCAGCCCTCTAACTAGAGGGTAACTGAACTGCTGAGGCCAGCTGGCCAGCTCTAACCGCAAGTTCATGTATGTATACTAAGGTGATGCCAATGTAAGGTGTATGGGCAGATTTCCATCCACAAAATGCATCTACAGTATAATTCGTTATATCAAGTGTAGGTGCCCAAAATCATACGGAAAATGGAATATAAATAAAATCGCGTATATACAAGTTTTCATTGGCAGGGCGTAAAAAAACCTGTGGTTCCGGTTTCATATCGTGAAAAAATTTGGGTCGGTAGGTCGGAAATAAATTTGTTTGAATATTTTTTTCACGGTTTTGGCGGTTTTTTGCTGAGCGATTTGCAGTAGAGTCCTGACATCAATATTAACTAAAGATGCGTATTTCCTATGGACGAACTTAGGCAATTTGCTCAATAATTAGTTGTCAACAGACTCCATTTTGGCACGCTGTATGAGCAGCCCGCAACCACCTGAAGAAAGTAGGGTCGCACGGTCAATCGCGTTGAAAAAATAATAGCGTCGGCAGAAAAAAATAGGGTCGGTCGGGAACCGGAACCACAGGTATTTTTTTACGCCTAGGGATGCAACTACCTGAAAAATACATACACTGTGTCTAGATGCCCGGCAGTCATTAGTATTCATAATAAAAATAGCTCATATATCATTTTAGCAATATTTATTTATTTATTTAACTTTGCCAATAAACATTAAAACACGAAGACACATATATGGACAATGGCAGGGAACACGCTACAGCTTACGCCAATTACAGCGGCCCTTACATATAAGATACGACATCACAAACACATTAAACTAATAACAACACGATACTTCACAGGACAGATTACGTGACTTGTTACAGGACAAACATATTGTTTTCCATGTTCTTGGATCATCCACGTCGTAGACCGTTTGTAATGCTACTTTATAGTACATAAAAAGTCCATTTTTTAACTGACTAAGGCTGGTGTTATTTCCTGTCAAGTTCTTTCAGTACATTCCACATTCTGGTACATCTATTTAAATAGGACGTTTGGAATGTGGTTGTCTTGCATCGTGTTGTCGTGAATGACAAATGGTCAGGATCGGATGATCTTGTTTCCCTTTGGCTGTTGACACTTTTTGGTTGAGGCAGGAAATGTTCGTCAATTCTCATGAGTCCATGAATTAGTTTGTTAAACACAACCATATCCAGAAATTCAAGCCAGTAGCTCAATGGAATAAGCCGGCTAAACGTGAAAGTCTCTGGTTGTATGTAGTTTCACAACGGAAGGGTAGATCCAAGACGTACTTAGTCACGCGTCGTTGAAGTCTTTCTGTGCGTTGGATTAGATTGATGGTTTGTGGTGCCCAGATTTGTGAACCATAGCATAGCTGCGTACGAACGAGAGTCAAGTATAGAGTGCGGCGAACTGCAATGTTTTTGATGTAAAAAGGTTATTTTGCAATGAATTTCAGCAAGGTGGTTAGTTAGCTCAACAACTAAAGCATGTGGCTGAAAACATTTTTCTTTAGAACACTTTTAAAGTTTGTTTTTTTCCAGACTAATTTTAACTCTCCTCAACCTTCAGGGGTTAGATGTTAGCGCTGGGGTTATAATGATTGGGATCAGTTTATTTTTTAAATGTGGCTTTAACTATAAATGCCAGTCTGCCGGGCATCTAGTATTTGGAAACTACTACCCGGCTGTTAGGCATGTAGACACAAAGAAATATATATTCTGCCATATTCCATTCCTAATTATTGTAAATCTTGAAAATATTTAACAATGGACTCCTGTATAGAATAATACATTGTTGCACGGCGGACATGTGCACCAAATACTAGGAAATACTAAATATACAAGCAGGAGCAAGGTTCTGCAAAGAACATGTGACATTGCGATCGGTTAAATACATGTATACATTCCGTACTGTCTTCGACTGTACTGTAAACAAATATTAGATATCTAATTCAGATTACAGTGTAATTACACGACAATCCAATACCAAAGGAATTGCTAATATGCCTTACTTGACTCTTCATAAGTGATCATAATGGCGATGTAACAAGTACCGTACTTGTTCAAATTGCTTGGCCATTATTTTAGAACATCGGCCATGATTAGTTAGTATAGCTTGGGAAATGAGCGATTTTTCATAGCCAGTATGAGCACTAAAAAAATCGTTCCCTTTAAAGAAATTACAAGGCTTCTTCTTGATCTGGATAACATTTTTCAACATTTAGAAGCGCAAACGCTGTACAGTACTGCCAAGAAATAACTTATCAAAAACCGCGTCCAAGACGCGGGTATCTTGCGTCCACTGTGCGTCCACGGGCGCCCGCGGGTGCGTCCGTCCTGCGGGCGCCGTGCGTCCGTCCACTGTGCGTCTGCGGGCGCTTGCGGG